TGTCGGGTGGTGCTGCCTTCTTCTGCTGACACTGGGACAAAAGTTCGCTCAACTATTGTGTGCAAGTTTGGATGCTCTGTGTTCATCGGTCCAAGTCCCAGAAAGCTACGCGGGGATGAGGTTGTCACTGAGAACACAATGTTGATGGTTTCATATAAACAACTGCAAGATTATCTGTACCACAAACTGACCAGGGTCAATAGACACAGGTCCACAAAAAAACCGGGCAGAGTGACGACCTCAAATGTGGGCCTTCACCTTCAGGCAGCGGTGGCGCCCTGGATCGGCAACTTGCTGATCCCGGAGTCAAACTTAGAGAAGGGTTTTGACAGACTGAGGGAGCTGGGAGGGAAATCACAGGTCTCCTCGACGTCCATCTTTGTGTTTATGTTGCTGGTCATGAAAGTGGACACCAGTGGGTGCAAGGCAGTAATACAGCAGAGGAGATTTGGGGTGGGCCCCTCTTCCAAGACTGTGGCAGGGATCCTAGAGCAGAGGAGAACTGCCAACAGGATGTTTGAACAGCAACAGAGGTCGTCCCTAAATGCGCTCCAGACTGTGAAACCAGTACAGACACTGCAGCACCAAATACTCCAGCCACTACAACAGTTTCCTGTCATTCTTCCTGCATCGAATGTGCTCCAGACGTGTCCTGGGAAACCTCCAGAGATGTCTCCCGTGTTTGTTTCTCAACCTTTTTTTATCACAAATCCTGTCCTCCAGCCCCCACAACGTGCGGCGTCTGTCAAGCAGAACATACCAACCTACTTCCTGAATGCATCTTCTGTACCTCCATCCAGACTTCTTTTACATGTACCACCTATTGCACAGACACTCATGCCCCCTAGTGTGACTCCCAGCAGCGTTTCAGTCCAACCGCAGTCCCTACCGATAAATCCGACCCTCAAACTAGTGCAGCCATCTGTTCCCAACCAGGCTGTGCTTCTGTGGTCCACACCCAGTCAACCTTCCCAAACCTCTGAAGTCTCCAACATGACTCCCC